GTCGGTCTTCCTTCACTTTCTTGGTTTGGCCATTTTGGCGTCCTTCTTTGTATGACATTGATGTGCGATGTTGATTAACGTTTTATGTCATCAGCCGGAAGTGCATTATTTTAAAGGCAGAGTCTATAGCCATTTAGCGAGCATAGCGTGTAGTCTTCTACTTCCTTCCTACGTAGTGGTGTTCGTTTGTCACCCTTGAAAGGAAGAAGGGCAAGTGACCCTGACATGTGGTCATGGCAACCTGTTTTCATTCCTCCGTCAATCAAGCCTAGTCATATCGAAGTGAGTTTCTTGCTCGATCGAAATGTTAAAAGAATTGTCTATCTTCGTCTGGGTTCGATTAAGTGTATTCCGTTCCTGCTCGTTCATGTTTTTCTATTTTCTTTACTGCAGTAAGTTACAATGTAACTACAATCATTTCAAGTCCGTGCGAAAATTCGCGTTTATGCTTGAATGTTATTTTGAGAATGTTTTAGAAAAGTTGTTTTGTTGGGGAAGTCTATATTTAAAGCGCGTTTTCTGGTAGTGTATGTGGTGTAAGCGAAAGAAAACAACACGTAGGATGAGGCGATGACATACATAACTACAGTGGTTAGGTACAGTAAGCCTCGTTCAAATCTTTGCCGCTATCACCAAAGGTTAACGAAGGGCTTGTACAACGGAGGAGCTTAGCTCCGTCATGCTTGATCATTACGATTGACGTCATTGATTTCTGTTAAGCACTTTTAAGCTTGCTTCAGTGATGTTTTGTAAAGTTCCCATAGGAAGGCTTTTGGTAGTTTCTATTTTCTTTCACGCCCGGGTACCAGTTTCGTGAGTTAGTGAGAGAGATGAGAGAGTTTTCGAAGAACTGTAATATGTCAGCAAGTAGCTCGACCATATTTTGAGTATGTTTGGCGACTTGAAGCTGCATCAGAATCGAATCTTTCTTTTGAATGACTGAGAATAGGAAAATTATGTCGTTTCTTTTTATGAGACACTCTACCTCGTAGATTTTTAACGAAGCTGTAGACGAGTTCCAAGAAGTTTAATTTGTGTATGAAGTCAGAGAGATTTTGCATCGCTTCTTTTGTGTTTAATCAGGATTGCTAATCTCAAAAATTGTGAAAACTGAAATTGATTACTTTACGCTAGAATGTTCACACACCGTACTTTGAATTTTGCAATGCGATTCCCCTGACGAGGAAGGGAAGATTTGTAACCGATGGAGTGATGGCCTTACTTACAGTTTCATGATGAGGCACCTCTGACGCCCTTCTGTTCATGAAGATAATTTGTCTTTGTTCCACGTCATAAACCAGGACTGCCATAATTTAAAGGCAGAGTCGACATCACCTGTGTGGTAAGCATAGTATGTAGTCTCCATTTCCATCTCACGGTGGTATTCTCCTTTGTCGACCTCAGAAGGTAGAAGGGCGAGTGACCAAACCAAGGAGCTTTGTCTTAACGTTATCATTAGCCTTAGATTTAGCGGTAGCTCTCAGTTCTGAACATGACGCTCTACCGACTAAACAATACAGATCTTTGGTAATGTGTGGCAAATTCCTTGTTCAAGAGGATGTGTGGTTAAGACAAAGATTGCCACATTTGAACTGTACCCGATAGCTCCGAGTTCGAAACCGATCCTTTAGACAGTTTGCCGTCTTTACTACCAAATTTTTTTATGAATGCAGACCTTCGTTAATGTCTTGAACAGCAGGGTACCTTTGTGTCTTTAGATGATGTAATGATGTTGTTCCCTCAGTTCATCTGTTTAAACGTTGGCCCTTTGTCACCAGAATCTGAGAGCTGCTCGTTTTAATTTACTTCTGTCTTATTTGCGGCAATGTTCTTTATGCTCCGTGAATAATCGGTAGTACGCAAAGACACGTTGTTTCTTTGGATCTTTTCTTAAATCTTACTACATGATGTTTCGTAATCCTTAAGCTGGTCCTTAAGCTAAAATTGTTTGAAATATTGCACTAAAGTTTAAATGAATTGTTTTAAACGCCGTTGTAGTTTCATTCGCTTTACAAGTTTCATTGTCTTTAGGAACATACTCCTTTGTGCAGAAACGCACCCGAACCGCATACAGTAACCGGCAGCTGGTCGAACTCGAAAAGGAGTTCCATTTCAGTCGATATTTGAACAAGACTCGGCGGCAGGAGTTGGCTGATTTGTTGGGCCTCACCGAGCGGCAGATCAAGATCTGGTTCCAGAATCGGCGAATGAAGATGAAAAAGGACGAAAAGGACCGGAAGAAGGCAACGGCGGCTATTCACGACTCCTCGAATCCCGTGCTGTCAGCAAAAGTACCGTTGTATTCGTCAGAAAAGTTCTACTCTCCGGTGATGAACAGCATCGAATTCGACGTGTCGCACGCTTCAGAGGCGAAGTTCATTGCCTACGACAGGTCAAAGTTCCAGAAGATGATGCCGTTAGACCACGAGAGATCTCAGTTCAGCAACGATGTTCACGTGCATGCGCCTTACGCGGAAGGACGCAAACAAAACGAGGATATGGTCGGCTATAACAAGGACCAGGGCGAGGGCTGCCTTCGCCTGCCGTCGTGGTGCTCACCGTGTTCACTAGAGGAGAGCCTGCCAAACTCATACCTCTTCCTTCCATCGTCTCAGTTCAACATGCTGTCGTCGTTGCCTGATAATTCCACCACCGGTGACGACGTCCAGTGAACGACGACGAATGAACGCAAGCAGGCTGGTCATGTGGTGACCGATTTTGACTCAGATGGAGGCCAATTTGCTGCAGCGCGTTGTTTTCACGTGCTGTCGTTCATTTTACGTCTCTACCGAAACGTTGTACCACAGTACTTGTCGAAGTTGGCTTATGTTGAATGTGTAAAGTTACGTTTGTTTGAAAACATGCGTTGACGTGGAAGTAGTTCACAAGCACTGGTTGGGCTGCCTGTCGCCCAGGGGCAGTCACCCATATGTTTAGCTGCCATAATCACATTATTAAGTACGCAATCGGCGTTGCGCAGCCTCAGTGGGAGCAGCGGCGCGGCACCTACCAAAGGCTCGGCATATGACCACCGTACGACGACTACGAGTACGACTACGATTATGCTGTCGACCGCCTCTAACGTCAGCCAAGCTGCGCGCGCGCGCGCGTAGTTCGGTCGGTTGCCCTGTTTTCGACGAACTGCCCGATGACCCACCTGGTTGCTTCTGACTGGTCTTCCGACATGTGCGCCGGCCTGCTTGCCACTGGAGCGTTACAGCAAGTGCACAGGCAGGCTCTTTGACGGGGCGCTGTTTCATTTCACTTCATCACAGACGCCGTTG